AGTGTTGTAACTCTGAACAACCTTGTGACAACMACACAGCACTTCCTGTGACCACTGAAGCTTTGTCAGGAGTGATTTTTGGCACATCACTGACAGATTTAACAGGAAGTTGACCACAATATTATGCTTATTTTATTGTATCATTATTATCATCCATACTGCAGTGTGTATATAAATATACAGGTGTTAGACAATGAAACTGAAACACCTGGTTTTAGACCATAACATCCCTTTAAGACAGCTTCCTCTTGCGTCCACAGTTAATCCTGTTGGATGTGGTTGGTCTTTCTTGGTGGTATGCTGACATTACCCTGGATACCGTGGCTCTTGATACATCACAAAGACTTGCTGTCTTGGTCACAGATGCTCCAGCAAGACGTGCACCAACAATTTGTCCTCTTTTGAACTCTGGTATGTCACCTATAATGTTGTGTGCATTGCAATATTTTTGATCAAAACTGTGCTCTTACCCTAATTGAATCTTCACACTCTGCTCTTACTGGTGCAATGTGCAATTGATTAAGATTTGGCCACCAGGCTGGTCCAATTTAGCCATGAAACCTCCCACACTAAAATGACWGGTGTTTTAGTGTCATTGTCTAACCACTGCATATGACTATTTTGTTAGATAATTGTTTTTATTATGTTACAGTCTGACTTGTTTTTTACAATAACAATAAAATATTGATTAATTATGTTGGAATCTAAATAACATGTGTGTATGTATATATTAGGGGTGTAAATCATCAGCTTTATCACAATACGATATTACATTGATATGTTTGGATGACGATTCAATATTTCTCGATATCACAAAGTCTGTCATAAAACGATTTCGATTCAGTTCAATTCACATGTCTGCGATCGATATTATGCAATATCATATGTCCATCTAACACAATGACTGTGTTAGATGGGCACATGATATCGATTCACATTACGCATATGATGACGATATAGATCGATGTTTTCATTTTGCCTCAATATAACTGAATCCTGAACCATTCAAATCGATATATCGATATAGATTGTATTGATGTATTGTTACATCATACAATTGTTACGTATTGTGCGATGTATTGTTTTTAGACTAGGGCTGGCACGAGGTGACCTGTTGCTCGAAGATTACCTTCTTTTGGTGATGGAATTACCAAAATCTTGTTTTTAAATGCAAAGTATAGGACACTCGACAAGGTGGATGTGTTGTTAAGGGGTTGCTCCTCCCTAAGAGAAGGTTCACATAACACCTTGCCTTTTAAATACATAATACAGTATACACAACTCAAATTACTCATGATTACCATTTGTAACTTAATGTAAATACTAATTACAATTTTATTATAACTGAAAAGCMTACACAAATATTATATACCATAGTTAATAATTATCTGTAATATATAACTACAKAATTGATTTGGTGATGACGTTATGGGTGACATCAGTGGTATTAGCAAGAATATGCATCAGCAATGCTAAACACACAACACATCACGTACATCTCCATTATCTGCAGATTTATGAGGAACAGTAGGGACAGAAGTTTCCTTCAGTTGAAAGTCTTTGGGCAAATCCTGCTGTGGGCTTTTGGTAGTTTTCAAAGGAGTCCATCATGAAATTATTTACACAAACTACAACTTTCTTTGGCAATACTGCGGGGACATTGCCATCAAAAGTAAAAATAAAATTAGGCCACGCATTTCTGTTCTCCGTGACTGTTGTTAAAATASCAGAACAAAAAGGTGGTCTTTCTGTGAAAACCGCAGTGACAGCAGTGATGCCCTGGTGGAACAAGGAAATAATGTTCTTCACACCTTTTTAGACACTATTTCACTTTTTTGTATATAAAGAATGAAAATGCCTGCAGATTTATTTTACAACCAAAAGTTAAACCATACAATGTCTTCCCTGTAAGGTTTTATTTTTCAAGTTAAAAAAGCAGGTGAGGTTAATCTCTATGGTAAATTACATAATATGTTTCTGTAGCTCTTTTTGTTTTCTGTGAATAAGAGAAACAAAGTGATGATGCAGGGAAAAAAACATTTGTTTGAGCAGATTTAGTGGTTAAAGCATTCTTTCCATTTTAGTTTTTTCATAACCACCAGTAGTTTTTTTTAAGCTAAATACAAAGGTAGAGTGAGCTACAATGGCTGAAAACACTGGTATAGGGTCTCCTTTCTATCATACCGTACCACAGTCATAAATACAGAACGGCTCAGTTTACTGAAAGACCACACGTCTGAAATAAGTTGCCCCAAGAACAGAGAAAACCGTCTGAATCCTGACATATTTTTCCTGTTATACTGCCACAGTGTCTGCACTTTATGGGGTGAAAGTCCAAAAATATGTCATCTGCATGGTTGTGTGTAAATGCACAAACCACTCATTTGGTGGAAATTACAGTCTGTGGCTGATCCAAAACAGCACAAAGCTTCTTATAAAGCATGTTGTTTGCATTTTAGGTGTTGCTTCTCCCTTCTCTAAAACATATAGGGTGTGTTTCAATACACAGCAAATTGCTCTCACATGACCCGTACCACAGGGGAGTCCTTGTTTCCATTTACAGTAAATGAGAGCTTTTGCATGTACTGTAGGTCTGAGAGTCTTTGGGCCAGCGGTGGGGGGAGCATATGCTTGCTATTTATTATAGCATAATGAAAGCTCTGTTTCACACTTTCACAATCCGTTGTGCTTTGATTCCTCCTTTCCAAATTGTTATTTCCTGTGTGTTGCTGTTTGGCGTGGCCACTCTTCGGGCCCTATAACCGGCCTCTGTATCGGCCGGCCATCCCTTCGTCTCGTTAAGCAACTTTCCTGTCAATCATCGCCACAGTGGCAGTTTTGTTCACGGTCCTCCTCGTCAGAAACCCCTCAGTCTGAGGAACAGAGGACAAAGGGATGACGGATGGGCGAAGATCCCTGACAGGGAAGTMCAGTATAGAAAGGTGTGTGCCGTAAAAGGATGACAATGAGCTCCATTCAGGCTGACACAATGCAGCTTCGCCCGGCGGAGCCCTGGGAGTGTAGCCCGGCACAACATTCAGCCATCAGCTGCTCCCCAGCCTGGGGAGATCACCGAGGTCTGAACAACACGTCTATTGAGGGATGCAAATAAAACAAGAGGAAACACGCAGAATGAAAGACCCTAGCAGTTCTTGAAGTAATGCATATCGCCCGTTGACTTTCATGTCAGAGGTCAACAGAGCTAAGCTATAGCAGCTTTGGTCACACCTTGAAAATATCACCATCTGTTACCTTTCAATTTGTCACGTGAAAATCTCTGCTACTATAGGTGATCAGATTTTCAAAACCAAATTTGAATAAAATGAAGAAAGTGGAACATTTACAGTAACGTTAATTTTTACTAGAGTAAAATGAGATGTGATGTTCGTGAACGATTCAGATCTTTTGAACAACTCCTTACAATGAACAATAGGAACGGACAGTCACAGACCATATAGAGCTGTTCCTAGTTTAATTTCATTTTTACTCCTCGTAATATCTTTATTTTTTCCCTCTTAACCACAGAGACAATTGATCATCCTTTGTTTTTTTCACAGAAAATAGGCAGAGGGGTGGAGTACAGCATCTCAGAAGGGAAAACTGATGGGGGGTTCCACTTGACAAACCTCATGGTACCGCCCACGTAGAGCTGTTGCCTCTCAGCAAGGAGGTTGCTGGATCGTATCCCTGCTGGGGACCTTTCTGAGTAGAGTTTTCATGTTCTCTCCGTGCATGCGTGGGTTTTCTCCAGGTCCTCCCGTTTCCTCCCACAGACCAAAAACATGACTGTTAGGTTAACTGACAACACTACATTGTCCCTAAGTGTGAGTGAGAGAGTGAATGGTTGTAYCGTTTGTCTCCATGTGTCCATGTGATGGCCTTGCAACTTGTCCAGGATGTACCCTGTGATTGCTGGACCTGGGCAGCTGCGACCCCCAGGACCCAGAAAGGAATCAGTGAGTAAAGATGAGTGATGAATGATTTGCTGTGACTTTCATTGGGTTGACTCCAAAAGTTGAGTTATAAATGCATATGCAGGGACTGCTTTTGGCAAATCTCAATCAACTACATCCAATAGTTCATGAACCCCGTGGGGACCTTCCATTGACTTTCATTCATGTTTTTTAGACTTTATAGCCTAACCCTGACCATATACCCTAAAAATAACCTTACAGGTACCTATCTGACCCTAAAACTAAGCTAAACCTTGGTCCTAAACCCACACCCGTAATTTGCATTTGAACCTATGGGGACCAGTGCTAGGTCTCCATGAGGCTGCTTTTTTGGTAAAAAAAAAAATAAATCCCCATGTTGTAGGAAAAACCCGTCCACACACACACTGTCTAGTACGGCTGTCTTTAAAGGGACATTTCATTGACTTCCATTCATTTCTATTGCCTAACCCTGACCCCTTACCCTAAACCTAACCTCTCAGCTACCTACCTAAGCCTAAATCTAACCTAAACTCAATTCACACCTTGGTTCAAAACCAAACCCCCAACCCACCAATGGCATTTACCCCCTTGGGGACTAGGTTTAGGTCTCCATAAGTATGGATGCACAAAATATCTGCATTAATATTGTATCGACCGATGTTGGTCATTTTTTAAAATATCGGTCTGATATGTAAAATTGGGCAGATATTAACATCCGATATTGATTTCCCACTTTTTAGCTTTGTGTTTTTATTTTGGAAGGGGAGATGGTTGGTTGAACAGCATCTGTTTGATCATAGTGATACTGCCGCTGCATAGCCAGGAATAATTGAAGTAGGGAGCCATGTCAGAGGTCTGGTTGTYAATTTACGGTATCAAAAACAAACCCAAGAGTGTTTGTGCGTATATGTATAATATAATTTGTGTGTTTGTGTAATATCGGTAAATATCGGTTATCAGCCATAACAGCAATGATTATATTGGATATCGAAATTGGCTGAAATTTTTATATTGGTACCTCCCTACCCATAACTATCAGTTGGTCCCCACAAGTAGGTGTGTATGCCAAAAGTTGTCCCCACATAGTAGTAAATACCTGCCTGTACACATACACATACAGAGACATACCTATTATTGCCCACCTTTCAAATGTTTGCATCGGGCAACAAAAATTCAGGACATTTGGACAAAGGCATAAGAATGAAAGACGTAGAGAAGCATGAAAGGGAGGACAAAAACACACACATAAGGGGCACAATTAGAAGAGAAGAGGATCATCTTTTCCTTCTGACTCATCCCCATCCCCTGGCTGCGAGTCCCACCCGGCCACCACGTGTTGCCGGCCTGCTTGGACTCATGTACCCTCTGCCTGCTTTCCCCTCCGATCAGCGGCCCTGCCACCCGTCTCACTGCGACTCTGCCGGCTCGTCGCTGTGCGAGCGTGTTTATTTTAGAACGTGTGACTCACACTTCCTGTGCTCTGCCAGTGAGGCGAGTCTCTATGGAACAGCAGGACCTCCGCTCATTCTCAATTCTCTCTTTCTCTTTCTCTTTCCACYCCTCCACCCCACCTCCCCTCGCTCRCCGCTGATAGGCCCGGCCCGAGCTCTGCGTAATGCGGGGGGCTYGTTTGAATGGATCTCACTCTGGAATCCATTTACAGATGCGGCGCGCTGGATGGAGCTGGAAGGACTTACATAAATCGCGGGCGTGCTCAGAAGCCTTTTGTCACGTCCTCCTTTTTACAATAAGATGTGTTTGCTGATAGGGAGATGACGATTGCAAGGGAGCGACTTCAGGTTCTGTTGCAGAGTGGGAAAACCCCCATAATAAGATTGTATGTAATCTGGTCTGTGGGCAGTGTGCCACAAATGTGTTTGAGTTAAAGAAACAGCAGCAAAATGATACATTTACAATAAAAAGAGGTGATTTTCCTGAGATTTGATCCGTCTCCCACCGTCTTTCCGCTTCATATTTGTACAGTGGAATCATTCATTCAATGTCTTCCTCTCTCCCTCTTTCTCCATCACTCCTCTTTTTTCTTCTTTTTTTGCCTCTCTCTCCCTCTCTGTCAGCAACACACCCACTCAAGCAGTCATATCCGCTCTCACTCTCTGGCTCTCCCTGCTCGTCTCGCAGTGCCTGTGAAGCGTCTCTGAGGGGGAAGACCAGTCTGCTCCGTCAGGTAATCTAAACTCCGTCTCACTCCGTGCCCTGCTCGCACTCTCCGTTTCTGTCCTCGCTTTTATAAAACCATCTGAAACTGCTCCACTTTCTGCTTTTTTGATTCAAATTAAGATTTTTTTTTTGCCTTTTCTAATCGAAGCATCTGATATTGGAGGCTGCTATTTTAAGGTTTTCACTTTTTGTGTAAAAACGTTGCAGACTTTCTTTTAACTGGAATAGATAGAACAAAAAAAACTTTAATTGTATGCATTTAGATTTATACATCGTAATGTAAATAGTTTCAGTCAGGTAGAAATTAGCTGCTTGAAACTATAGAGAACTTGTTATCTTTTCTGAACTGTTAATTCAAGCTGACCAACCTAAAACTACTCAAACACGGGACATTTAATCTGGTGAAAGTCTTGACCACAGATTTAACAGATGGGGAAATGGAACAACCTACAATTTAGCTCAGGTTTTGGGGATCTGTTTTTTTTATTTATTTTTTTKCTCAAACGTTGATTATATCACTAAAAGCTGCCTGGATGTCATTGACACTCTGTGTCGTAATCCCCCCCTGTCGTTGAGGTGTGTGTGTATGGATGTTTTTGCTACCTGGTGGGGACGATTAATGACCAGTTCCTCAGTACACACAGCCTAGTGAGGACCCACTGTTCCTTATGGGGACAAAGCCCGGTCCCCATTGGAGGATATACCCTTAATGGGTCAGGGGTTCAGTTTAGGACTAGGGTGTGAATTGAGTTTAGGTTAGATTTAGGGTCAGGTATGTACCTGTGAGGTTAGGTTTGGGGTAAGGCGTCAGGGTTAGGCTGTAGAAATGCTCAGACGTACGACGAACCCTGTGCCCCCCAGACGAGGTGGCAGAGCGACGTTGCTGGTGATGTGGTGTTTTTGTCAGATCTCGTGCTCCTCAACGCACACCGACGGTGATGATCGCTGGGTGTGAATCTTAACCTTTGAAGGTCCTCACTTTGACTGATGCCTGGTTTTTGTTTCTACTGATGCTCTTGGGATTTGTTGKTGTTTCCTTTTCTCGGCGGGTGCCATTTGAACTTTCTGTTTTCCGGTGTAAGAATGCAGGTGAACTGCTGGTACAGTATCACACGTTGATTAAAATAAATAAATAAATAATTTCAAAATAAAAAAAACATTTAAATAATAAACAATAAGTATCACACATCGAGCTGCTTCCTCCAGTCTGGGGTTCGCCAAACGTCACCACTCGGGGGGGGGGGGGGGGGGGGTCACGACAAACTTGTCGGCGCACGCAGAGGCAACTCGCTTCCCCGCCTCACTTCCTGCTGTCACCGCACGTCTATAGTCAGAGAGGATGCTGGGAGATAAATTTAGACCTCCAGCTCCCTCTCCATCTGCCGTTGCTCAGAGTAGGACGGTTTCCATGGGAACGTGCGCCAGGCTACCTCCAGGATGAGAGAGCAGAGGAGGGAGATGTGTGTGTGTGTGTGTGCTTGTTTGTTAGCTTTATTTATTCAGATGCGCTTTAATAAAAGGACAAAAAAAAGTTTTTATATATACTTCTTAAATGCACAGGGGAAGGTTTACCTGTTCTCAGAGCACAAGATGATTTATCTGTTGGGCCTCTTTATTTTATTATTTGTTCTTATCTCATGGACAATAACAAAGTTTTAACAGTGAAGCCACTGCAGAACTGAGCCGAAATCTTCGACTTTAACAGACGACGGAAGGACCCGGTGTGTGTGCAGAAATGTGGCGCGAGGTTCTCCGTGTGTCGGGGGTGGGGGTGGGGGGGCTCCCTCGGGTAGCTTCGTCAGAGCCCATTTCTGCTGACAAAGCCCCCTGCATGTCCCTACCCTCTGCATGCATTCCTCTTGTTCTGTCTTCTCGTCTCTGCGGATGAGTCATTAATCACATTTCAGGAGGAGACTCCCGAAAACCAGTTTGCACAACAGATCACTTCATAAGCTGGGATGCTGTGCTGAGAATTAACTAAACAGCGGTTCAGAGCAAGGGCAGGGTGGCTGAAAACTTCGGCTGATTGTGCTGTCATTGGCCGTAATTTGACACCACCAACCAACAGGATTAAAACAGATGGTTCAGGTCATTTAAAGTGGGATTCTGTTGTAATAATACCTGTCTTACCTGCTGCAGATGGCTTCTTGAATGACCTCAGTTTAGAGAAATAAAGAATAATTCTGACCGAACTGAAGAGCTATAGTTTGAGCTGGGGCCAAGATTCAACAGCAAATTTCACTGGCCCATGTCATATGGAGTAAAGAATTATGGCAATGGTGGTCCAGGTGTGGTTTGCCAGAGGTGGTCTATACATGGGCCAGCGCCACATAAACCAAACCACAACCAAGCCAGTTGTGGCAATGAGAGATTTGGGCCACATGATCCAAACCGCAAATGGGCCAGTTGTGGCATGACAGATGTGTGTCACACAATCCAAACCACAACTGGGCCAGTTGTGGCATGACAGATTTGTGTCACATGAACCAAACCACAACTGGGCCAGTTGTGGCATGACAGATTTGTGTCACACGATCCAAACCACAACTGGGCCAGTTGTGGAATGACAGATTTGGGTCACATGAACCAAACCACAACTGGGCCAATAGTGGCACTGACAGATTTGGGTCACATGATCCAAACCACAACTGGGCCAGTTGTGGAATGACAGATTTGGGTCACATGAACCAAACCACAACTGGGCCAGTTATGGCATGACAGATTTGTGTCACACGATCCAAACCACAACTGGGCCCATTGTGGCACTGGCAGATTTGGGTCACATGAACCAAACCACAACTGGACCAGTTGTGCATGACAAATTTGGGTCACATGAACCAAACCACAACTGGACCAGTTGTGGCATGACAAATTTGGGTCACATGAACCAAACCACAACTGGACCAGTTGTGGCATGACAGATTTGGATCACATGAACCAAACCTCAGTTGAGCCAATTGAGGCATGACAGAATTGGGACACATGATTCAGGCCACACATGGCCCAGTTGTGGCCTGGACAGATTTTGGATGCATAACGTAAACCCCAACAGGGCCAGTTGTGGCATGCCATCTTCAAATCAATGCCATTGCCAGACCTGGCCCACATCCAGTTGACAAACTACTTGCCATGTTAGCAGTGCCATCTTGTTGCCAGATCTTGCCCACACCTATGTGGGTTGCTGCTGTCTTAAACAAAACTTCAATGTTGAAATTTTCACAGTGAAGGTAATGCTATAAGCCTTTGTCACATCTTCAGTTTCACGTTACACAGTTACGATATTCTTGCAAGAAGTGGCCCAKGTTGCACACAAACTGCTACAGCTAGCTAATCATCAATGTTAAAATCTGTGTAATATCAAACTGACAGCAGCGTAAATGGTTTATAAGTTACCTCTCAGAATCCTCTTTCAGAATATCTGAATCATCTCTTTAATGCTGTAAAAACTTCCTGCTCACACCTCAGCCTAAAAATAGACTGAAGAACGCCCCCTTCCCCAGCCTCACCAGTAAGAGAAGACACATTTACATAACTTGTGTTTCGTCTGCACTCACATTGTCATCTTGTTCAGTCGTAATCAGCTGCTTAAGTGAATTTTAGGGCTAGTTTTTGTGTGCGCAACAGACACCATTGTTAATAAGTCATCTCTGTGGAATGAGGATTACGGGAAAGGAAAACCCCTGTCTCAGATCAGCGTAGCTCACCTCAGGGCTCTCCAGACGATTGGCTGCCTGTATTTGCTGGAGTAGACTTGGCGTTGCTGTGTGTTTCAGTCCGAGGGGAGCAGTACTGTAGGTTGTACGTGTACTCCAGAGTGTGTGTGTGTGTGTGTGTGTGTGTGTGTGTGTGTGTGTGTGTGTGTGTGTGTGTGTGTGTGTGTGTGTGTGTGTGTGTGTGTGTGTGTG